GAAAGGGAAAGGGAAAGGGAAAGGGAAAGGGAAAGGGAAAGGGAAAGGGAAAGGGAAAGGGAAAGGGAAAGGGAAAGGGAAAGGGAAAGGGAAAGATACTTCAGTTGGAAGTTAACTGTTCTGATTACATTACCTGAACTGTGTAGGAGTGAGTTATGAGCTATCATTTGGGGGCTTTTCCCACATATATATTTATTTTATCTATTATATTTTTATTTTATATTTTATATTGATGTATTTTGTGTATTTATGTATCTATCTAAATATATATTATTTGTATATCTCTTTCTGTCAGTCTCCTAAAAAAAGACCTTTTTAGTAGCGAAGGTTTGAATAGAAGAAACCATTAGTATGGATTATTTACATACAGGAAAAACTTTGGGGAAAAACGCAGGAGAATAGTTAGAAAATTATGTTTTTTATTGAAAACTAAAATTTTCACTGATTTCACAGGAAAGGAGACATCACAGAGCATTATATATTGTAAGGAAATGGACTGGCAGTTGAAAGCCATTTTCCAAACTGACATGAGCAGTTTCAGTCAGATTTTCCCTCTGCTCTGCCTATGTTGAATATCCAACAGCAGAATATTGGTATTGAAATAAAACTGAAGTAAAAATATCTGTAGTTCTTCATGAGGATTATTCCAAAAATACCCATAAAACTTTTTACAGCATAGTATCTTATATACTTATAACAGTCACATTACGATAACACCAGATTAAAACAAGACTGTGAGCTTTCTTGTACTACTGTGAAGAGACTTCTAACACAACATAGTTGATATATATTCCTGTGTTAAAGATTTACAGGACACCCTGGTGCCTACTTAAGGCTGATAAACCGGTGGAGGCTGGAAGAGGTGAGTGCTCGATAACTGTACGCTGATTTATCTGCTGCCCACAGTTGCCATGAATGCAAGCAGAGGCAGACATGGAAATCTGCCTAGGCATTTTTGAGTGTGTTCTTGGGTTTTATTGGTAGTGTCAATGGTGTGTCTAACTCCACACCATTGACACTACCATCTGCTACAAAAGCATCTATAAACATTGATATATATATATATATATATATATATATATGTATTCCCTTTTCAATGCTAGCAGTTCTAGTGTTTGCATCACATTCAAACAGTGGTATCAGCTTTTCTTGCCTTGCAGACCAAAGAGCTAAAATAATAAAGTAATAAATTAAAAATCCAGACACATAAAATGTATGTGAAATTTTACCAAAACAACTAAATAAACTTCCCAAACAAGCTACTGGTGTGATGTCTCATGTCTATAAAATCAAATTAACATGAAAAGAAATGAGAGTTTGGCTTTGCAAGTTACTCAAGGACCAATTCAATTTTATTTATTTTTTAAATAAATACATTCAGAATTCAAAGCCCATTTCACAGTTATAGGAGATGAACAGCAGCAGTTTCTGGACCTGTCATTTACTTTCCAGTGCTGCTATATGCACACTGAAATCCCGTGGTTTCTTTCCTGCTTCACAGATGAATAATTGAAACAACTTTGCAGATAAATGACAAATGGTAAGTGGAAAATGCCTGCCAGCTTGAATTTTCAAACACATCTGGATACATAAATATTTTGGATAATAAAGGCCATACAAATATTAGCAAAACAAACAAAAGTATTTGAATTTTAATAAAACCATCTTAATTTTGTAGAGAAGTCTGTTTCTTCAAGGAGAGAGTACTTGATAAATGGGCAGACAGATTTTTGCTTAACATCCCTCCAAAATCTGGCTGGGGCTGAACTGACCTAACAACTTGCTGCTGTCAAAGGAAAGGAGTTCTGGTCTTCCTCTGAGTCCTGCCCCTGAGGCTTGCTCCTTCCTCCTCCTCTGCATTAGCTCTCACTTGTCCAGCCCTGTGAGGAGCCTTGTATCAGCAGTAAGCTTCCTTTTTCTGGCTGAATTAGTCTCCTGCTGATTCAGTTGGCTGATTCATTTCACAGAGGGATCAGAGAATACAGAAAGAAATTCATATTTCTGCAGGAAACAAGATAGAAGGAAAAGAGAGCCAGGTTTGTGAGGAAAGTGCAACAATAAGGTGTTACAGGTTGGGTCAGTTGCTGGTGGAAGCTATTCTTAGTAGTCCTGTTTAGCTTTTCTCAGAGAAAAAAGTGTCTAATAATAAAAAAAAAAGAGTCTAATAATAAAGAAGTCTTAACTTTATTGACCTCTGCTAGGTCTTATTAGAACTAACCTGCTTTAGAATACCATGTCCAGATATCCCTCCAATACCCCTCTCTTCACCTGTTGAATTTTGCCAAGTCTAAGACATTTAGTAACACTAGTCCAGTGTCCATGGACATGCTTAGACCACAGTTTACATATTATTGATGTTATGGTTGTAACATTGCTGCTGCTTCATTAACACTGCACCCGCCTCTCTCAGGATATATTCACTTGTGACCAATTCCTAAAACACAGAAGGATGATGATTTAGTAATGACAGAGAAGTAAAAAAATTTAAAAAAAAAACAAAACAAAACAAAAAAAAAACCCTGAAAATAACCCCAGAAACAACAACAACAACAAAAAAAAACACCAATCCTGTCACCCTGTTAATCTAAAGAGATGCTAAATTAGGTCAGCAGAAACCTCAGCAGTGATCCAAGTTCTGAGAGCTGGGTAATGAAGTATGTATAAGAAATTAATATCTCATTTTATTCCAGGTAATGACCAATTTTTCTCCCTAAAAGTTAGAGAGAAATAATTCCTGTTCTGTGACAGTGATTTGTTTGACTTATCTGTAATACCCAAGATTTTAAAATACAGTTTGAACTACACTGTTTGGATCTGCAAAGCCAATTGCACAAAGTGCTGTGTGAGAGTAGAAAGCTTTTGATTCCTTTCTGTTTGTTCCAATACCAGATAAAAAATTACCTACATTTGTACTATCTGAAGATCTCTCCCAAAAGCAGCACCACAGATTCAGTGGCTGGAGCCACTGTTAAAGCAAGCAAGCACTCAAGAAAAAACACTAAGAATTGTTGCTGAGCAGAGAGAGCTTTTTTGTTCTTTGAGAAGAGAAAAGCTTTGCACGGTCTACTCAGTCATAGATGTTAAATAGTACTCAATTAATAATTCTAGGTCTATCCTCTAGGCAAGGACTGTTTGGTTTATGTGCAGCCAGGAGGAATTTTCTCTTCATTCTTTGACTTGATGTAGAGTCATCCTCCCCAAAAACAATTTAAATCAATGGAGAAACTTGGTGGTCTTTGCCTCTGCCCTGCCCACAGTTGCTCAGCACGTTAGAAGCACTGCTGTGAAAACTGCATTGGTTTCAGCAGACTCTGACCTCTGCAGAGAATTAGGTGATAAGCTTAAAATACTGACAGTATGATACAGGGTCATCTGCTCCCATGAGTTTACACTTCTTTAAAAAATAAGGAGAATGCATTTAATTTCCTTTTAGTAAATAATCCACTATCATTTATAGCCTTTAAGAAATGCTTTAAAACTCAGCATTATTCCCATTTAACATATTTTTTCTTTTTTTTTTCCTGTAGTGCCACCCTAGTGGATGCCTTATTGATCTCTGTATGCAAATGGGTATTATAATGGTTTTAAAGCAGACATGGAATAATTTCATGGAATTGGGATATCCGTAAGTAAATATAATACCTATGCTTCTATAGGTCACAGAATATTAAGTCTATGTTTTCCTTATTGCCAGTTAATAAGAGCAAGATGCAGTAGTCATTACAGCAAAAAATCCTCCCCAGGGGTACAGATCTCCAAATATATTGATGATGTTTGGGAATTTTTTCCACATTGGACACAGTTTGCAAAAGCAGAAGTGTAATATAAATATTAACAAATAAGTACTACATGGGAAGTACTTGGTTTTGTTACATTGTATTCTATGTTCTAAAACACCTTAAAAATAACTGTGTGACCACTATGTTGCTTACATGAAAAATACATGTATCATTTCTTAGCTATACTAGTAAGTTCTAAATCCTATTTTTGTTGGGTGATAAAAGATGCCTGAAAGAGCAGGTACGAGATGGAAAAAATGCACTGCTGGCACATGCACTCTGAAAGATAGAAAAATGTACTGACTGGTATGTAGACACGTTCCCTTGTGATCTTCAAGGGAACATGAAGCTGTGCCCTAGCTAAAAGGTTGGCAATTACTCCTTTCCTATTGGTTTATTCCTATTGATTAGTATTTAATGAACATATTTTATATTATTAATATAGACTTAATATGATCAGTGTAGTTGATGATAGAGAGTGTGGATGGTCATCAAGGGAAATTAGCAAGTGTGAAAATCTAAGAGAGAGCTGACATGGTCAGAAAGTTTGCCCTTGTAAAGTTCAGAGAGATTTGCTATTTCTCCATCTTTCCTGGGCCTAGCACTGCTTGCCAGTATTTTGCAGCTGTTAGGGCTGCAGGGATTAGCTGGGATGGGCAGGAGGGAACAGTAGCAGCAGTATTGATCCTTTTCTTTCCATTCCCTACCACTTCTGCCAGTTTTCATTAGAACTCTCTGCTTTCTATTAATACAGATTTTTTAAACTTAACAAAGAGCACAGAAGAGAAATAAAATAAGGTGATTGATAGAGATAGGAGGAGATTGTTTAAGAACAAGTAATTTTATAGGAATAAACTGCTTCAGGTGAAATGAATTTTCACTTCAAAGTCACAAGGAAAACCACAACATAAAAGACACAGTCACAACACTGTGAAATGCTTCAACTTATTCTGATGAGAGATGTGTTTGCCCTCCAGACCCTTCAGTTCACCTTCTAGCCTTGAAATGCTGCAAGAAAGCGCATTTCTTTTTGTGTGAAAAACACCTTTCTGCTAAGAGCTTGATGGCAGCCAACACAACGTGGATGGCCAGAGGGCTTGGAGGCAACCCTGCCATCTGTACCTGAATTCAGTTGAACTGCACTTAATTTCACCTATGCTTCTTTGAGGAAGATAGGAAAAGCTGTAATCTTTCTGATAAATTATGTAAATGGAAAAATAATCTCTAAGATTCAAGAAAAAAAGCAGCTGTCCAAACCCTTATCCAAATCCAGTTACTATTTGCAGTCACTTTGCACCACTCAAAGACCACAGCAGGCCACTGTGAGGGCAAGAAGTGAAGCATTGTCAGGAAAAGGACTGAATTATTTGGGTGATCTATCATGTTTTTTCTCACTGAGACAAAGTGGCTAATCACAGCTTCAGAGAAAATCTCTGTCATTGTGGTTTGGGGTTTTTTTCTCTCTATACTAACTCTTAACTAGTGTCCTTTGTTGGCCAAGCAAGTGCAACTCCCTGACAAGGTGTTTATTTCAGATGTGAGAATTCATTTCACTTTTGGCTCAGTGCCTTTCACAGTGGTTTTACACAAGCATTTCTTTGGGAACAGTGTCTTCCCCCTGATGTCCAGTACAGGTCTCCCATTTGTTGAGGTGGAGGTAGCTGCTATGTCATCCATCCATCTCTCAGCCACCATGTGTTGTCTGTAGTTCAGACATTTCTTTCTGCCTCTTTCTCCTCTGAATGTTTGGCTGCAGACACCATTCAGGGTTGCCTTTTCCTTCCAGGCTTGCCCAGTTACCCTGCACGCTGTAGAGCCATGCAGAGATGCCAGGTCCCACACAGAGGAAAGAATCAAGCAGCATTAGCACTCTTATTTACTGAGCTCAGTATCTCCATGCAGCATTGCATTCTGCCGCATAAGCAAACACTGAAGTGATTTGGCATTCTGTCCAGAGAAAAAGAAGTAAATAAACAATGAAAATATATCAAAATCCTTTCACCATTTTAACAACATACAGGCTGGGATTACAGCTCATCAACTGTATCTGTTTTCATACCTATTATGCTGTGTCATCAGCCACATGTATTACTAATGCTCTATTTTCTGTACATTGGGAAATTAATTTTGCAGGATATGTTGTGCCCACTTAACCTCTTCCAACTTTGTGATAAATAGCCATTCATATTCTTTACTTTGTTTCTTTTATTTAATTTAAAATGTAGGCTAATTCAAAACTGGTGGACCAGGAGAAAACTACGGCAAGAGTATGGCACACAGGGAAAAACAAGCTTCCCACAGTGGGAAAAGGACTATAATCTGCAGCCCATGAATGCTTATGGACTCTTTGATGAATACCTAGAAATGAGTATGGCTCTAACCTTCATTCTCTCTTTCACTATATTTTAATGTTGTTGTTTTTCTGTTGATGTGGGCTGGTGAATTCTTTTAATTGTCACTATATGAAGCTAAGGAGACTGCAAAAAAGTGTTTATTTTCACAGAGCAGATGAGGAATGGGAGTAAGTTTTTAAGAACCAAACAAATGTAGTTAAGCACACTGCTGATGGTCTGCTAACCTCCCATCTATGAAACACTTCCCATTCCAGATTTGTTTTCCAAACCAGAGCCCAGTTCTTTATCTGCATACTTTTCTGAAGAATTTGCTGTTATTTTCTAAAGAAACTTGTCTTGTGTTTATGCTTTGAAGTGCATGGTACAGACCAGCATGCTTATTTATGTTTAAAATCCTCCCTCATTTACTACCTCACATTTACAAAGTTACTTACTGCCAAAAGGCACTGCTCTATCCAGAGGAGAGAGGAGAATAACTGCTCAAAAATATATATTAAAAAAAACATGAACTTTTGCCCTATGTGACTGAACTGCATATGTCATGATTGGTTTTTTCCTTTTCTCCCTCACACAATTCTTTTCAAATTAATTTGAAATCTCATACTCTGAAAATCTACCTCTAGAAACTCAAACAGAATTTCAAACTGCTTCCCATCTGAATTATAAAGAGGAATGTATTCATTCCAAATCTTTGCAAGTACTGAGAGATCCTAGTAGATGCTGGAGTAAAAATGTCCATTTCTAAATGAACAATTGTCCACTTCAGAACTTAATTCCAAATTACAAAATTTAGATGGTGCTGTCCACCATTCCAGGGTCTTTTCATTCTTTCTTCTAACTTTTGACAAGGACTTGCTGCACAACTGCCACTAGATCATTATATAGTATGATATAATAATGAGTGTCTGTATACTTTATACATACTGTTTATTTTCATACACTGTTAGGTATATTAGACATTGGGGTTAGATCCTAAAAGATATTTTGTGATATTTCCTTTTTTTCTCCCAGTTCTTCAGTTTGGGTTCACAACCATTTTTGTGGCAGCTTTTCCCTTGGCACCACTTCTGGCCTTACTAAACAATATTATTGAAATTCGGCTTGATGCTTACAAATTTGTTACTCAGTGGAGAAGACCTTTAGCTTCAAGAGCCAAAGATATAGGTGAGCTCTTTGTATGGTGTTTGTTATATATATGTGCTAGTTGTCAAAGCTTTGACCACTTCAAGCAAGAGCATATTAAGGTATTTTCAGTCATTTTCATCTCTTGATTGTTCAAAAAATTTCAAATATCTGATGCCAATCTACTTATGCAATTAATAGTCTATAATATTTTAATTATTTTCTGGGAGACTGAACAGCCAAGGTATAAAGTGATCAATGTTCTCTGCAGGTGCTTTGTTGTGGCAGACACATTGTGCAAACACATGCTGCTGCTCAACTTGAATATAATAACCAGACAGATCAGATGAAACATGAAAGCCAAGTTAAAGTGGCCACCATCCCATAAGGAACCTGTATGTTTTATATGTACCTGGCCAAAACCAAGCTCCCCTGTGACTCAGGGTCTGTGCCCACTGGGTCCCTGGTGGGTCAGACAGGGTGGGTCTGGATCCTAGCAGACAACTTGCTCTCAGTGAGTCACACCTGCATTGCTAAACACAAGGTCCACAAAACTCAGAGGTCATCCAGCCACACACTCTTGCAAAGGATCTCTGAACATATTTTGACTAAAAATCTCTTCTGTCCTTGCAGTATGCAAAAGCACAACACCTTTAGGAAGAACTTGAAAACAAATTCATCTGCCCAATGCTGAATCTCTGGTGTTTTCAGAGAGGTAAATAGGGAATCTCACTAACCAACTGCATTGCAAAAATCCCTAGCCGACACCAAGAAATAGCAGATCAGGATTTGTGCTCTTAGAACATTCTATCATGTGCCTAAAGCCTGTGTCTGATTAAAGCTTTGAATGAGAACAGTGTGAATCTGTGGGTTCTGGCACAAGCCTGGACAACAGCCATACATGGTATACACTGCAGACATAATTTATAAAAAATGCAGCTCTATAATGTAGTTAATAGAAGCACAGAACAATACCTTTTTTGCATGTTGATTCAGATGTGATTTCTCAAAATAAATTGCATTCTAGCAAAGTTTCAGGGTCAATTCAATGCCTCATTAAATCAATGTGTATGTCTAACCTTCCTTTGGTGTGATTCACAGTGATGAGGACAGTGATGAGCTGTTCAATAAGAAAATTTATTTTTACTTTTACTGTATTTTTACTTATTTTATTTATCCAAGAGTCACCAGTAAAGTTTTTATCCAAGAGTCACCAGTAAAAATTTTTACTGGTGACTCTTGTATAAAAACTACATAAAAACACATTGTGCAGTGGGAAAAACTACTTCAGATCATGCAGTACTTCAGGCACTTTGGTTCTTATTTTTCCTGGAGCAAACATACTGTCCTTGTTAAACAGGCATCTGGTATGGGATCCTGGAAGGCATTGGAATTCTTTCAGTTATCACAAATGCATTTGTTATAGCAGTGACATCAGATTTCATCCCTCGCCTCGTTTATGCTTACAAATATGGACCTTGTGCTGGCCAAGGAGAAGCAGGACAAAAGTAAGGCTTTTTTGGGGGGAGGTGGGAGCAGATGTGCATGGAAATCACTTACTACTTGAATAGATGCAGTATTACTGTCTGTGTATGTTCTGATTCCACTAAACCAAATGTATTGTTTGTGCTCAGGTAAGAGATACCAGCCATAGGTACTGGTGCTCTGCATATTCACAGAATGGGTTGCTGAGTGACTGACTGTGATCCATGAGGTTGCTTCAAGGCAAACATGGCAGAGCTATTTCAGAGATTTTGTGTGTGACAGGATGCTGCCCAAGCTGTACTTCCCAGCTGGTAGTACATGGATATAATCCTATTTTTTTTTCTGAAGCAATGCTGATACGAATTAGAAAAGAATTTGTTGAGCATCCTAAACTTGTACACTGGGGTTTTTTCCTGATGTAATATTCAGCATGTATTGCTTTAAAAAGTAGTGTCTAGCAAGAGGAAGAAATTTCCAACTAATATATCAATATATACTTACAGAGAAGAGCAATTTCTTTTTCTTCTAAAACTAGAGTTCTTAGATTAAATATTCCAGGAGATGTTTGTGATCTGAATCCCTGCTGCCTAAGTGGATTTTCTTTCAGTGTTGCTAAACACTGAGATTATATTAGTATGTGCACACTACCAGCAAGCATGAGATAGTTACTGCCCAGCCACTTGTGAAATCTCAGCTGCTGGGCTCCAGGAAGGTCACTGAATCCAGCCAAGCACAGACACAGTTTGCAAATACTCTAGCAGTGCCATAAGCAAGGAACCCTGCTGTTCAAAGAAACCCAGGCTAAACAGTAGACAGTGACAGAGAGCTTGCATTCTGCTGTTGGACATATGGCAGATTGATTTTTTTACTCCCTGCTGCAGAAAGTGAGTTCATCTGTTGCTGCCTTTTTGACATCTTTTGACTGTCAATACATTTAATCATACTGGCAGAAGAAGGGCATCTGGAGCAGCAGCTTCTGATTAGGAGATCTGCTAACTTCTGTCCTGCAAGGATTTGGGCATTTTAGCTAGGGCTAGGGAGGATGTTCTGTTTGCTTTCATGAAGAGTTAAAATCCCTTCAGGGGCAAAGTGGTCTGGTGACAGTTGTTCCTGAGCATGTGCCTCTGCTCATACCATTATAAAGATTTACAGGATATTGTGGCACTGTAAGCAACTCATTGCTAAGGAAAGCATAAGGAAGGATTTTCTCAGGAACACTGTGGATAAAAAAACAACACCTTTAGAAATATTTATCTTAAGACTCAAATATGACTCAGTGGCTTTGAAACTAGTTCTGCACAGGGGAAGTAGTTTGGCTCACCATTTGGCTCTTATCTTCTTTTCACAAAACTCTAGTACAATGTTTTCACACTTCTGCTGCTTTTTTGAGTGAATTTCCGGATGAAGCCATCAGGTAGTAATATTTTGAAGGAGCTAACCTATATTTAAACTGTTTATGTCAGCATTCTGAATAATGTTATTAGTAAGTACTGTTACAAAAATCCACAGGAATAGTGAGTTTTCTCAAATTAAGGTATGAAGACCCTCTGTTATTGAATAGTTAAAAGAGAGAGGGACCCTTTTCCTTCAAAAAATGTCTGTAGGTATTAGAACCACATGACACACAATGATACTAGAAAAACACTGGAATTAAATTAAGTTCCAAATGTAATCAGTATGGAGACAAAGCCAGATGGTGTTGGAATATAATTTTTCAAACAGTGTAAAGTCCATATATAGAAAGATCCAACCCAAAACCAAAATCCCCCAACCCTAAGGGTGCATTACACTCTGCACCAAGATGAGTTGTGTGCCTACACTTACCTTTGTTTGCATGCAGTTGGTGCAGCATGGACAGCACAAGATCTCCTCAGTGACAGCACAAGATCTCCTCAGCTCTACTAACACAAAACTTGAGCCTTCTACTGATACCCACAGCCCTTCAACAGGGGACATAACTTCTTCTACTCAGTGTTCTCTAAATTTTGCCTCACAGTATTCAGTCACCCTGGGATCTTCTAGAATGGAGTTCCTATGATTAACTGGACATTTTACAAAAAGCTGTTTCAAGTGTATTATCTTTCAACCTGATTTAGTCTCCCTTTGTGCTAGTACCATGAGTGTAACAGTGGGAATATTTTGATTATCTTCCTAACACTCCTCATTATTTTCTCTGCCCCTATTGTTCACCATTTAGGTGACTTTTCAAAAGTAACCAGTCCCAATCTTCACCATTCCTTCTCCCATAGAAATCTACCATTGCTTCACTTTTATTGTTCATCTGACCTACTTTAGCATTTCTATTATATTGCTTCAACATCCCTTTCAAATATTAATAAGCATGAAAATTGTACTTTTGGATTTTATGAAACCCAGAGGACATCCTCCTGGGTACAACAATTAATGGAAAAATCTTGCTGTGTCCTGCTGACAGCATTTTGTCCCCTCTAGGTGTATGATTGGCTATGTTAATGCCAGTTTATCAGTATTTCTGGTGTCTGACTTTGAAAACCGTTCAGAGCCAACATCAAATGGAAGTGAATTCTCTGGGTCACCATTAAAATATTGCAGGTAAGTTTCTGGTCAACATACTTCTCTGCTTTAGGACATTGAAATGGAGAAGCATCATAATAAATCTGGAGTTGAAATTAATTTTTAGAAGTTACAAATTGAAAGTTTTAACTGTGTTGTTCAGGGTCATGCTCTTCCTGGTGCTGTTTGGCTGTTACCTGCATGATTCCTTCCTCAGATAAAAGATTAGCCAAAAAAGCTGGTATCTGGAGGGTATCCTATTGCAGGATTTTTATGGTGTCATATCTTGACTCAGACACAATCATCATGGATAAATATGGTATCAAAGGGCCAGTAATAGGTGCCTGACTACTTAGGTTCCAGTGAGACTCAATTGTGATGAGATGATATCACAGGACATGCACAGGATGTCAAAATTGCACAGAAGAGGCCACACTGAGGGATTTCACAGGTCTGACAGACATAAACAGGCTCTGTCATAAGCTGTCTTTACAAAACCTCAAATCCAGCATTTCCAAATTGTTGAATTGTTAATACGTTTATGTTATTGCTTACTGGTGTAATTATTAGTAATAATCATATATTTGTGGTTTGAATCAAAGGAAGATGAGCAGTTAATAATCTGCATGTCTTTGTCCTCAACAAAAGATGGAGTCAGAAAAGTCTGTACTGGCAGATTTACACCTGAGTGAAATTAATAGCCAAAAACCTCAAGGGTCTATATAAAAATCTTAAATAAAAACCAAAAATACCAAACAAATACAGCTACCAGTTATAAATTGCAGTATAACATTACAAGCATGAGAACTGGTAGCCTTTTAGCAGATATTTAGTCCAAATATTTTTCACTGTGAAGAATTAAAATATCCTTTTATGAGTGCCTAAAGAACAAAAGATACTCTGTGATACTACAAAGGTCTGTGGTACAGCAAAAGTCAGTGATATTTGCAATATTGTGATGTGTTTTATGAATAGGAAGAATTTTGAGTGGTATAGCATAATAAATGGGGGGAGGGGGTGACATCAATGCTTCCACTTAACTAACTGATATTTAAGACTGTTGCAACTTCTTTGGCAGAAAGATTATTCCAATGCTGAATTCACCTGTGGAGCAGAACCACACTGAGAATATTCCATTCCACATTATTTGCTATAGCATTATTTAATAATCTTTTGTCATTCTGACTATTCTCTTCCACCCCTTCAATTCCTTTCTTGCCCAATTTCTAGCATGAAGTTGCTGCCTCTTAAATTTGATCATGGAAATCCCACAATAAAAAAAAAAAAATGTCTGCTCAATATCACCTAAACAGAACACTATTAAATTTGGTGTGATAAATCTCCAAAAGATATATCTGTTCTTTTGGGAGACACTGAATTGTTACGTATATCTATCCTTGAAGGAAAATTAACATTTTTATTTATCTGGGTTTATCAGCTTCTGACCAAACTGCATTCTGCTAAGGCATCAGTCATTTTAATTGCACTTCAAGGCAGATATTGATAGGCAATTAAGGAAATATTATGTTATACTGTGTAATAGTGTAGACACTTTTCCAGGAAGGCAGTTTGTCTGAAAAAAAGTCCCAGTTAATTTCTAGTGGCCTGGAACACAGATAGTGCTGTGCTATTCTGGTTGTTTATAAAAGGCTTCCCCATTTTTTCACGTGTAACAATAGGTTCCTAGCAAGTAAAAAAAAAAGAAAATATATACTCTACTGGGACTTGCTCCAAGTATTTCCCTTTTCGGGATGCTTAGGATATTGTAAAGCATCCTAAACTATGAAGTCAGATGTCTACTGGCACAAGGAAAGATATTTTCAGTTTTGAGAACTTATTTTAGAAATGCTGCCATTTCTGAGAGATTTGATGCTGACTAAGATGTCATGACAGTTTATTTCCATTTGCATAGCATCCTCTGCAACCTAAGAAGGTGAAGCTTCATGGAAAAATACAGATTATCATAGAGATTAAATAATGTTTATTTCTTTTATTCATCTGCATTTTCATTAGTTTCTTAAAACTGACTTAGTGATCAACCTGTAATATTGACTATGGTATTTTCAATATTTTTTTGCAGTGGGTTTTTTGTCCCATCTAGGAAACAGATGAAGAAGCAAACAATTTTTACACTACTTTTAAATAAGGTTTCCACAGTTCTATTTTAGAATTAACAAACTGCTAGTAAACATGGACTCCAGAATGTGTGATATAAACAGATTCATGGTTTGTAAATAGTCTTGGTGTATTCCTGGATCCAACTTTCCCAATAGATATCTACAATTAAATTTTGGAGACCTGAAGTCTTCCAAATAACACTGTGAGAAAAGACACTAGATCATTTTCTCACATGGTCCTCACCTCTTGATATACCAAGAGGTTCAGTGCTGGCTCTTCTGAAGTTAGGATGAGTCATGTTTTACACCAGGGATGGCCAGCTAATTGATCAAGGGCCAGGTGGAGTCCATGGGGCATTTTTATATGGATTTTGGGAGAACTATCAGGCTGGCAAACCTGGGGACATTTATGGGTTTAAAGTGTCCTTGAATAAAGGGAATAAAGTGTCCCTTAAAAGAGCAGAGCATCCCACCCTTCTCCAAGTTCTGAGGAGCTGCCTGAAAGATACACGTCGTGCTGCCAAGGAAGATGCTGTAGGGTCAAAGCACCTCCCATCCTGTGCATTTGTTTCACGGGTTTTCTTCAGACAGACACTGTTTTGGGTCCTTTGTACCCAATTTCTATTAGAACTCACAGAGTGCATCTTACTGGTAGGTTTCAGCTGAAAGTAAGTCCATTTGCATGCAGAAAAGCATGGTAAGAGGAGGTGATCAGCACACTTGCTCCAAAAGCAGGCACCTGACCTGAAATCAAACACTGGCACAGGCCCAGCCTTAGAAGCAAGCAGCATTAGGGTAACGTGTGCAGTTCAGACTGAGCTCCTTTTGGGTGCAGAGAATGGAATGATCAAGTGAAGATAAGTTTTGGTTTTGCCTTTGCCCAGGCAGCAGTGCAGAGCTTGCTAACTCCCACACTGTGCTCGCCTTTCAGGTACAGGGACTACCGAGACCCTCCGCACTCCCCAGTGCCCTATGGTTACACGCTGCAGTTCTGGCACGTCCTAGCAGCGCGCTTGGCCTTCATCATTGTGTTTGAGGTCAGTGACCATTCAGGTGGCAGAACAAAACCAAAAAGAATACAAATTTCCCTCTGAAGCTTTGCATTGGGATGATCCATGATAGCAGCTGTTGACGTGTTTTTTGTCTTAGTTTCTTCTACTTATATTGTGCTTTGTATACTCAGCTTCATTTTCTGAACAGTCACAGGCACATAGCTTCTTACAGAAAAGGGAATACAACACCAAAAATTGTAGCATTGATTTGCAAAAAGGGAGAAATAAATGAAGCTTTTATTTACTTTTTTGGTAACTGGTCTAGGTTGAGAAGCCATATGCTGACTGTTGTGTAAGGATAGGGATGAAGGAACATGAGAAGAAAATATTAAATCTGAGCAACTGAGAAACAATGATAATTAAAGTTACAGTATTTACACATCTAGCTTTTTTTCTTGTTTGGGTTTTTTTTTTAATGACCTTCATTCCTCCAGGATGGTTGGCATCACAAAGATGATGACAATGAAAAGGATTCAAAATCTTTGTCTATGTTCATAATATTAGTATTTACTGTCAGTATCTCAGATGTCTCTAAGGCAAACCAAAGGCGATAATACCAACATCACATGACTGGTATTCCCATGCTGATTTTGAAAAAGAGAGACGGAAAAATAGGGTGCAATGATTTACCAAAAAAAAAAAAAAAAAAAAAAAAAAAAAAAAAATAAAAGAATAAAAAAAAAAAAAAAAAAAAAAAATAGCAGCTCTTAAGATCTAATTTCAAGTGCCTGAATATCCTCACCAGAATTGAACATCTCCCCAGCACAAGAAGTTTGAAATGCCTTTTACATTGTGAAAAAGCCAAAGAAGGAACATATGATTTTAAAAAATTCTTTACTCAATCCTCTGCTCTGAAATCATAGCAACAGGGCATTCAACACAGATACAGAACCTGTAGTCACTATACTGACATATGGTGTAATGTTCATGAGCACATATTGCATTCTGGCTCACAGAAGAGTGTAAATTCATTCTGAACTGAGCTTTCAACACACTTCTTTGGGTAACGCAACAGAAGCATTTGTGTTAGAGCAAAGATGGAGAAGAAACATTTTTTAGATTGTTATTTTTATTCTTTGTGGCTCAGCAGAAGCCCAAGGACTTCAGCAAATTCCCCCTGATTGCAATTTTCAGACCTTCCCAGGTGAAGGAATATGGCACTGCAAGTTGGGCTCTAGTCTTCCTGTACACTGGGTAACTTATTAACAGTTGGTTTCCAAGGAGATAATTTCTTCCATCATCTGTTCCACACTCAGGGAAATACTAAGGGAAAGAAAGAGAGAAAGATTTGATAGAGGCTGGCCAGGCTTAATCTCTTCTAGTTTCATGAGCAGTCAGTACTGAAAGTCAGGGTATGCAAGTCCAAAAAGGACTACAAGAATGGTCTTGGCAGATCAGCCTAAGAATCTTAAATACTGAAGAGAGTCTGGCCTCTTGATACACACTTGACATAAAGGCAGCCCAGCATAGGCACAAAGAGAAGTGAGGCAAGAAAAATGAGCCCTTTTTGCCCTGTTCTTTTAAAAAATTTAAAGTTCTTTTAAAAGTTTTCTATTCCTTCTGATGTTTACATATTTCTACTAGAGTTCTCACACACTGTTCATGTAAATAATTATTATTTTGCATTCTTCTTTGTAAGAAGAGAGAATTAATGGACTTTTAGATTAACCAATGTGGTTGGAGAGGTGGCAATTTCACCCTCCAATCCATTGTCACTTTTAGAATTCTACATATTGCAAAGTCAGAAATAAATCTTCCTCTTTTTCTTCTTTTACATCTTGAGTGAATGCATGAGTAATTTCATGTCATAGTGCAACAAGCCCTGTTCAAGTCTCACTGTCTAACCAAATTTGTGACCAGCTGTGGAACAACTTTTAGTGTCTTCCTGTTACCAGGCACATCTGAGTTGACTTTGCTTTGTCTCAACCAAAGCCATAGGCTGGCTTATATCTGCTTCCCCCAACATGAGCCACTCTGCTTATGGATGCTGCAAACTATAACTATAACTATACCTATACCTATAAAATTATAACTATAACTTAACTATATGAAATCAAAAAGGTCATTGCAGCAGAAACCACAACCTTTTTATTTGAAAATACTAATGGTTGTATTGTGATTGCTGCAGTGCCTACAATAAAGATTGCACTAAGAGATAGGGGATTCAAGGTAGGTTTTTTCATAAATTAAGTAACTGTCTAAGCTCAGGCCCCTTTTTGGCACTTTGAGTATGGTTTGTTTTGGATAACTTAACCTCCTTTGAAAACAAACAAAAGTATTTCCTATCACTGCAAAAGGAATTCTTTGTCCAGGCTAAACTGACAGAAGAGGCTTTTTTTCTCTCTTTTTAGGTTTGGCAAAAAAAAAAAAAAAAAAAAAAAAAAAAAAAAAAAACCCAAACAAAACCAACCAACCAACCAAAGAAACAAACAAAAAACCACCAAAAAAAAAAAACACCAAAAAACAGCAATTAGAGTATTGTGAGTTTATTTTCAGTAGCTTTCAAAAGAAGGGTTCTGCTTGGAGAAGAAGAAATACCTTTATTTCTCCAGTCTAGAATATGTGTCCTTTCTGAGATGGAGGATTTTTCTGTTTATCTGTTCCTCCTCTTAAGTGAACTGAATAAATCTACAAGCAGCATTTTTGAACAAACAGAAAAGGACACTCATGCATTCCTCAGGCATCAAACTCAAGTTTTGCTGTATCATGCCTAAAATAGGAGGGACAAAGGATCACTCAACTTGTATTTAATTGTGGTGTTTACTAAACAGAAATATGACTTTGGATAAGAGACACAGTGTAAGAAAAAATGTTTAAGTTTTGTTTTGTATAGATACATTACTGCTTTTGTATAGATACATTACTTCAAATTCTGATGTGTTTATGGCAACAGGAAAGTGTTACATCATTTAAGCCTCCTCTTCCTGCAGAGCAGAAACTAATACCAGGCTCTGTCCAAACAACTTTACAACAAATCGTGACCTCTGGGCTTTGAACACACAGGTCATAGAACAGTTTTGAAGCTTTATTTTAACCCATCTGCTCATAATTTCTGCTGTGACCCACACTCCACTGTCTTTGGCTGGAGTTCTTGGAGGGGAGAAAACTTCATGTTTCTTTTTCTTAAAATTTAGTAATGGATTTAGTTTAAACACAGCATCAGTCTGCATATTGGAAAGAGATGATTTTCACAAGATACAAAAAAAGTACTTGTTTTCTTCCTGAGGTTTTACATTTTTCTTTCCTTTCTTTTTGTGTTCACAGCACCTTGTCTTTTGCATAAAGCATCTGATCTCCTACTTAATTCCAGATCTTCCAAAAGATCTGAGAGATCGAATGAGGAGAGAAAAGTATCTGATTCAGGAAATGATGTATGAAGCTGAGCTAGAACGTCTGCAAAAAGAGCGGAAGGAAAGGAAAAAGAATGGAAAATCTTATCACAATGAATGGCCATGACAGGATGAGGAAGAAACTGCTTAAGAGATGATGAGAACTCTTGTTCATAAAAAAATTCCTGGTTTCCTACAGCAGAGACTGCATTGAAAAGAATAGTCAGTAATGTTGTGTGCATTTAGCACACATGTGCCCCTCTTCAATAGGGTGGATTTTGTAATAAGCCTTTTGAAATTAGAAGTGTTTCCAAGGCTTAGTCTTCTCTAGAGCTGATGTCAGCATGAGCATATCAGATCAATACTAAGTCTCTGCACTCTTGCCAGGAAGCTCCCAGGCCCTGACTAAAATTTGAGGCCCTGAACTTCAAAGCAGTTACAAAACTTCCAGTGCTTTACAGAACTTGGTGATCTTATGGTTCATTCTCATGAAGTTGCTACTTCATAAACAGTGACTACGCCTTGGCAATGTGGCAGTGTTTGTCTGTGTGTGTGCACCACCTGCAGCACGTGCATGGCAGCGTTGCTCCCTTCCACAGTGAACCCAATGCGTTAGTTTGCATTTGCCACCAGTTAAGGTCACGTAGGTGGATCATTTCCATTGCTCAACAATACTGAAGTATTATCTAGAAGGAGATGCATGACCATAAGTCTGATCGGCTGGCCAAACAACACTGAAAAATGTAGGCGTCAGAAGTGCAGACAGATAGCCAAGCATCTCAATGTGGCCAGAGGTATCTAGCTGTAGGGTCATCTATTTGGAAATGACACTGTGAAAAGTTGGTAATATATGTTAAAGTTTTGAACAGTGCCTTTTCAGCTATAGGATTGTCTGGTGTCTGAAGGAATCAAATCAGCTTAGGGCATCTTGCCCAGAACTGCCCATGTATTTGTGTTGCCAGATCACATGGAGGCCTAGTCAGGAATTGGGGTGTACTTACACACGTAACAGATGTTAGACAGTGTGTCTTAAAGACCTATCTGCCTAAGTAAAACAAACGAACAAAAAAAGACAGATGAAGAAGGTCAGCAGAATAAAACACAGCCATCCAGAATATCTACACTTGTAGCACTTTCTGTATTCATCATTCCATTATCTATGAAGGGATAGAGGGAAAAAACAAAACAACAGACTATAGTATGAAAAAGCTTGAAATCCTTAATGCAGAGCAATTCTACACAGGTGTAAATTAGACTTGGGCAAAAAAAGCCACTATCAATATCCTTCAGAAAATTCCTTAGTATTGAGAAAATAAGAATTTTTTATTTAATTAAGAAATTTTAAATTTCCAGATTATTAACCCAAAAAGAGTGGACTTGGAGCTTTGAAGACATCCTAAGTGTTGGATGGAACAACATGAATCAAAGTACTGAGTGTTTTGAAAGCTCTTCAATCAGTTTCTAAAAGTTATTCTAGAAGTAATTTGATAGAAGGAGTAGAGTTTGCCCTTCTGGACAGATCACACAATGCAAGATCCTATGGATGGATACCTCAAGCTCCACATGACAACAGGGCCATTTGCACCAAGACAAATATCACCAAATTAGATCTATTAACTTTTTTCCACTGCAAAGGAGAACTGTGCTATTTGCATGAGATGGGGGAGCTTTGATGAAGGGCAATATGGCTTGAAGAAGGAGAGGGGTGAAAGAAAATGTGAGCACCCTCCTCTCTGTAGCCACTGCCTGCCTACACACAAAAGCAAGGAACCTCCCCCAGTAGCAACCCACCATCCTACCTGAAGAGGATAAAGGACATAGCAGCTCCCTTTTATCAGCTGCTCCTAGCCCAGGCCTGAAAGTCCCATGAGACAACATAAATACTGAAGGAATTTCAGGATCAGTCTGTTCTGTGGTGGCTCAGTGCCAAACTGAGTGGGGAGCACAACTAGTGATTGTGGGGTAAAATCCTGACTAATGGGGAAGTGAATTTGTTCATCTTTGCTTCTGCTCACAGCAGCTGTGGACACAGCCCACAGGACAGTGGGGAAATAGGAGTATTTCTATCTCTGTAAATAGGGGGTGGGGATCAGGCAGTGTTGACCTCCAATACACACATGCCAGATGGGTTAGTATTTATCATCCTACAGTTGCAGCCTGGGAATTTTGGGGCAGAATCACTGTGCAAAATCATATTCAGACCAAATTCTCATAAATAATTTTATTATTTTGGATACCCTCTGTTTAATGTCTAAACCAACAAATGACCAGAGCTTAGAAACTGTTTACTAAGTAGTAAAGTGAGACATGAGCCATGCATAAAATCAGTGCCACCCATACGAGTAGAATGGACCTTTGCAAATCCCTGCAGTAAGATGCAGCTTTGTCAATTTAGATCTCAGTAACTTTGAGAACTGAACTGAAACACAGTAGAATATAAACTGATTTCCACTCCAGAGGAACCACTGCAATAAAATGTGCCAAAACAAATAATGCACAGCAGAAATGCAATAGATAGTAATTGCTTTTGAGAGTAGTTTTCAAGACAGCTGCATTATGATGAATTTTCCTGACAAAACTTTGCTAGAAGATGTGTCCTGCTCTGCTGTAAATGAGACCATGGGTTGGCTGCTTGCCAAGCTTGTGCTGAGTATGATGCTGCAAGGGGCTCTGACCTCCCTGGCAAACCCTGAGTACATCTCTGTCACTTCAGTTTGACCAGTCAACCCATCGAGGTTTCTCTGCTGCTGGTCTGATGAACAGATTTCCCCGGAGTCCTTCAGAGCTACATAGCAGAACACTCAAGAAGGATGGCCCCTTTCTATTTATTATAAAAATAAAATACAAATAATAGTATAATAATAAATGGAATTCTAATAGTCTCTAGAGAACTAATTTATGCCATATTATTCTTGATCTGATTATGGGTTTTGCTTAAATCTCCATGTGACAGTCCTGTATGTTGTTTACTTATTCCAGCTCCACAAGAGCACTACCTTCAAGGGAATGAGAAAAAACTGCAACCTCAATGCATGGCACAGACATTTTACATAGCAAGCAGGCCAGCACACATCAGAGGATTTACTGTGAAATCATTTTGCAATCAGCACAAGATTGTTCTCCATAGACCATTCTTGACAGCAGCATGTACTTCATGAGCAGTTACACACCAGTTTTTAAAACCAAGTTAAAAATGTATATTGGGACTGTTTTTCAGCCCGTTTGCTAAGATTTTTGCATTCTGTCCCATACTGGTTTTACAGATCTTAGAATAAAAAATGTAAATTAACAACATGGAAACTCTGACAAAAGAAAAATCTAAGAATAGAACATCATCTACTTTCAAGCCACCAAATACTATGACAGAAAACATGTTTACAAATCAGTTATTTTTTATTTTAAATCTTTCTGAGGGGAGTTACATTATTGACCATATATATTATATATATATATATATATATATATATATAAAGTATATAGAGAGATTGTTTATTTGTAAATAGAAAAATTCTGTGGAGAAGAATGTCAAGTTTTCACACTTTAAAAAAATCATCAACATAAAGCCATGTTTAATGCTTGTACAATGTGATGTAATAAACTTGAAAAATAAATTATGCATATGAAATATTACTGCATGTCATTCATTAGTTTCTTTTGTTAACCTTATTTGTTCAGCAAGCAAACTGACCAGTCAGATAGAAGTAAAATTTAAATGCAGACCAAAACCACACAAAATCTATCACTATTTTCTCTCTATGGTTCTTTTGCATAGTCACATAGTCAAATATTGTAATGGTGTGGTTTTATGGTTGGGGTTTTTTAATGTGTTTACTTAAACACATTCCTAATTGTTTTGTCTTGTGACTCTGCCAGATGCTGCATGTAATTTGGACACTGCAGAGTGCTCCCACTCCTGTGAAATGAATCAGTTTTGAGCATCCCATATTTATCAGGTGAGCTTTTAGCTGGGAGAGATGAAGGATCAGGGGGCAGGAGTATGGTGGAGACTCCAAGAATTATCTTGCTTTTACACAGACAAGGAAGGCCCTGGCTTAGAGTTCAGCTAGCAGAGGACAGTATATTTTCCCGGAGAAAATATTATTGAAAATCAATTAATTGTTTTAATTAATGATGCCAATTAAGAAGAATATAGGAAAAAATAAAGCGAAAAGTGTCACTTTATAGGTCTGCAGCAGTCATGGGAGATTAGATAGCAAGAAATGGAGCAGCTGCTTAGGTCACCTACAAAGCCTAAGTGTGTTTGTCTCTAAACCACTTAATAGCAAGATATACTTCCCAGTGAAAACTCATCTTGCTGAGTTTTTATTGTGGACCAATAAATATCACTTGGCACAAACTTTAACTTCATACCAAAATTCAAGCTAAAAGACCGCTCAATGCTTAAATAATGACTTCAACAAAAAAGGGGAGGTAAGATGGTAATTGACGCATTTCCTCTGTTTTAAACAACTAAGTAAATTCAAAGCATGGAGAAGAAAAATACATTTTTAAAGTATGATAACCAGGAAGATTAGTCTTCATGAACAAACAGGTAGAAATTACAGATTATCTAAGGCAGCACCAACTACAGCACAGTAATTTCAACACAGAGTGATCCTGAAAGGACATGGTGATGCTGTTTCAAACAGCAGTGACCAGTCACCCTCTGGAGAAGCACATTCAGATGGGAATTCAGCATTTGGATTGGGAGGGCTGTAGCCATACTGGCAGGCACACAGATCAAGTGCTTGCTGTGGGCTTCTGTTCTCTATTACAGCTTACTCTCTCTCACAAAGCACAGGTATACAGAGGCACACCAGTGCACTTCAGCACTCTGCTGCAGCGTGGAGATAGCAGTACTTACCCTGTTTCAGATCTGTGGGCTGAAAGTACCAGGTAAATATAATTTATTATATTCCAAGGCTGAAGAAGTATTCCATTGCACAGAATGAAGTATCTGTTTCTGGGTCTTGAAGACGAGGCACAAGGTTGAATGAGCTGCACTTATCTTCTGAGACTTGAGAAACATAGCCAGCTGATTCAGTCAATGGGCTAATTGTCTCAGAGTAACTTGCATAGTCCCAAAACAGAGATATTCCTGTCCTGAATCCTAGAAGACTTTATTCAGGATGCTATTGTTTGTCTCAGATCTCAGATAAAGGGACACAAGACAGTAACTCATAGTGGGATCTATCCCACTTGATCACAACCCTTACACACAGTGTCTTTAGGCACTGACCTGAACTTGGAGCTACAGAAGAGGTGTGAGAAAAGGGACTGGCCTGAAACTCTGCACTGGATAATGCAAAAAAATGCTTCAGGAGGCATGGGCGCAACCTGCCTCCATCACCACATAGTTTTGCACTAAGTTAGCCAATGGAGTCATGGCCTTGGTGGCACCCACAGAGTGTCTGACTGGATTCTTCTCCTGGTTTGGTCCTTGGAGCCCATTTTTTCACCTATCCTAACAGTTCATCTTATGCAGTAGATCATCAAGTGCCCTCTGTCACAAGGGCACAGAAAACAATTTATTTAGATGCTACAGGGCCCCAGTCAAGGCAACTAAGCTGGCACTGTGTCATTTTCCAAGTTACAGAAGCTCAGTACTTGGCACAAATGCAGTATAATTTTTAGAAAGTGTTTAAGGCATGCAGTCAGTTTTTAATTTGATTCCCAAGCATGACTGCCTTCTAAGCATCACAGCTCAGCTTTCCTGCAATGGCTTTAATTTTCCAACTTAATTTTGCTGCTGTAGAAGCATTTTAAACATTCCTGTATAGCCATAGTAAAAGTCTGAAGCAAAAAAACACCACAGTGGGTCAAGTCTGTTCCCCACTGTACCTAAAAGCAAGCAGGAGAAGAAAGCAATGGGGGTATTCACACTCCCAAAACACCAGCACAGGGCATGGTCTCACGTGGATGGGCTGTTAACCTTTCTTGGCAGCCCCACCAGAGGATAGGCCATTCCATAAGCCCTGCAGCCCTGGAGAAGCCTTCACCATATGACATCCTTTGAGATCCCTTCTCCATCTTGGAGAATTGTGCAGGGGACTCTGCACACCTCCAAAACACAGTATGCATTTGCCTGATCTGAACCAACCTGGAACAGGAGTCCCTAGAGTGAAAACATGGACTGCAAGAACACAAAGGACTAAGAAAATTTCAGCTCATAGCTCTGGAGAGAACTGCTGTGGCAAATGCAGATGTAGCCTTCACTCTTGTCCAGTACAGCCAAAAGGGAATCTTCTTTATTAACATCTCTGCTGCACTGCCCAGCCCAGTGCAAGAACAATCCTAGGCCAGCTAGCTGGGCATGCAGCAGAAAGCTGCTGTGGTTCTGTCTATGGCACTAAATAAAAAGTGTAAATATATTATTTCCTTTGTGAGGACCAACTCTGTAAGGGCAAGACAGAGGAGACCAGAGAGACAGGGCATGAAGGGAAAGACAGTACTGACTCTTGCCTCTACCACCACCGAAGTCACTCTTGCAGCTCCCAGCAGTGAGCACAGAAGAAAAGGTGCACGTAGCCAAGAAACAAGTGGGTTAAAAAAAACACAGATGACAAAAACAGCAAAATAAATATGCTCTCAGAATCAGTTCTACAGAGGAACCAGATAGCACTAAATATTCCTCCTATACAAAAAAAAAAGACCCACTATTTCTTGCAATCTGATAAAGTCCCACACCCTAATCTCTTCATACTTTCAATGCCCTAAAAAAACAAAACAAAACAAAGCAAAACAAACAACCAAAAAAAAAAAAAAAAAAAAAAAAAAAAAAAAAAAAAAAAAAAAAAAGCAAAAAAAAAAAAAAAAAAAAGCCAGAAAAACAGCTGTATCTGGGTGAACAGTACTCTTCCCAAATAAAAAAAAAATTCACTCTGAGGGTGAAAGGAGATTAAAAGCAGGTATTTTCCAGGAGGCTCAAAAATATCAAGCAAATATTTCACATAGAAACTTTGCTTTAGGCTCTGTCACCAAGAACCAGAGAGAGTGAGGAAGTGCAAGAAAAACCTGATTCCTTCCTTGACTAATGTCAAGGTCATGCAAAGGCGATAGTGCCACAAAGCTCAGCTGTGCCTGCCTATGACCCCAGCAGAGCTGGTACCTGACCCAGAGCAGGAATGTCAACAGTGCTTGACATGAACAAAACTGTCCTCATGGGCTGAAATGGCCTTGTGTCATATGTGAAGACCATTGACTTTGTTCTTGTCACTTGCAACATCCATTTCAATGTGGCTAAAGGCAGGGTTGTCAGTTCCTTCATCTGCCATGGTAAATGGTTTCCAGTTCAACACTTCCACTTTCTCTGGCTAAAAAACAAAAGACAAAAGCAATACTTTGAAACAGAAGAAACCTCTCTTTGACATCTCTTTGGCCAGCAGAGTCAGGCCTGACATAGAAGGTTACCTTGCAGGAAAACATGTTGGCTGCTGACAGAGCACAAATACTTACTCATAGCAGTAGTTTATATTTTTCTAGGGGCATGGAAAGTTTTGTATTGCATAAGGTACAAATTGTGTAAAATGTTCTTGTAACACAAAATGTTCTTGTCCTGCAAATTGGCTTGGGTGTGCAAAGTTCTAATTGTTGTTTTCATGTCTACTGATATGTCACCACCAGGTCTTTGAGCTATTGACTCCCAACCCTTCCTCCTTGCCCCATCTGTGACAGGAAGAGAAGATTAACATGCATCATTGCTTTGATGTCACACTTCTATTAAATGGAATGAGATATTGAGCTCCTCATGTGCAGAAAGTTGCTTAGCCCTGATTTTTTATAAAAATCAGTTAGCCCTGATTTTTATCTCATCAATTTTTTGCAGTATTTGTGATACCAACTACTTGTTATTCAGCTCTTAGCCATAAAAGAGACAGATACATAAAGAGACTAGTTTCTGACTCCAGGCATAAAAAACTATGGCTGTGGACACTAGCTTCCTTGTAGGTGCTGGATTGTTTTTTTCTTTTTCAAAAGACCTCAGGGATTAAATTCCCAGACAGCAGAAACAGATGTTGACCCATTAAAGACAGTGAATGACAGTAACTGGATAGCTGATCTCCAGTACTGACATGGGCAAATAGCATTACAATGGTATGGTAAAATATCCCTTTTTTTCACTGGTACTCTTATCCAGAAGCTGAAATGCATCAGATCATTCTAGAAGGAGTTGTCAGTATTAAGGAAAAACATTTTGCAAGCTGGACCATCTGAAGATATGATTATTGTCTGAACTACTGAACTTGAATGTTCAGCTGATGATATTGATTGAAAAGTGATCTGTAGTTTATTTTTAAAAAGTAATTTTCCTGTATTCTCTCTTCTAATGGATGTTATTACCCAATAATATTTCCCCTTTTCTTAGGATGAGAGCTAGGAAATACACTGACTAGAAATGTTTTCTCTCAAACAGTAGCCAAAGTTACAAAAAACAATCTGACCTTAGAGAACACATGTTCACAAACAAAGGAAGCTTTGCTGAGTCCAAGGTGTGCCTTGGGGCAGCTTCCCAGGGGACAGTTAGGGAGTATTTTAGCAGAAACATGGAGAAAATTCTCCCTTTTCTTAGTTGGTTCTCTGTTGTTGACTGAAGCTAAGCTGTGGCAAAACTGCTTCCTTGCCTGCAGCAG